AAGTAGCTGGGACTACAGGCGCCCGCCACAACGCCCGGCTATTTTTTGGTTGCAGCCATCATTGTTGTTTGGCGGGTCCGGGCTGCGGATTCAAACCCGCCACCTTAGGTGTACATGGCTGGCGCCTTAGCCGGTTGAGCTATAGGCGCCGAGCCAAGTCTACATTTCTAAGTCTTGGCCTTCCAGGCCCCCACCTTCCAAATGCCAATCTCAGAAACAGGAGTGTTCGTAATTAGATGTGAGAAGAAACTGAACTCACATTGGCTCAGACACAAAAAGGGGAGTGTAAGTGGGTGGCGCCTGTGACTCAAAGAAGTAGGGCACTGGCCCCTGTATACCAGAGTTAGTGGGTTCAAACCCAACCCTGGCCAAAAACTGCAAAAAAAAAAAAAGAAAGTGTAAGCTCAAGGAACTAAAAATGCCAAGGCTTTCAGGTATGGCTTGATCCAGGGGCTCCAATGGACTCTTGGGAAATTGGTATTCCTCTTAGCTCTGCCTTGCTTTAATTATATCCTCCCAGTTCCAAATCCTGCCATCAGAGGACTCTTACTAGCGAGCATTGAGTCTCATGCCCTCCAGAAACCAATCACTGTGACCAGGGGAAGAGGGCTCTGATTGGCTAGGCTGAGATCATGTGACAAGAGAAGCCCCAGATGTTTTTCCCAGGGACAATAGCACCTAGACACTATGATAAAGGGCTAACCAAAGAAAAGACTGTGGGGCCATGCCTGTGGCTCAGTGGGTATACCGAGAGTGGTGGGTTCGAACCTGGTACCGGCTGAACTACAACAAAAAGTAGCCAGGCGTTGTGGCAGGTACCTGTACTCCCAGCTACTTGGGAGGCTGAGGCAAGAGAATCGCTTAAACCCAGGAGTTGGAGGTTGCTGTGAGCTGTGATGCCATAGCACTCTACTAAGGGTGATAAAGATTCTCTCTCTATTTAAAAAAAAAAAAAAAAAAGGACTGGTTGATCCAAGGCCTAGATGAATTTTACAACTATGAGGATCATCTCATAAGCCAGATTTGGAATTTGAACCAGAATTCAAACCTGAGCCGTCCATGGGCTCAACTCCTGCAGACTCACTGGCTGAACTCAGGCCTGCTCTCCTGCTAGCCACCTGTTTCCCTGTCCAACAAAGGAATCACCCAGTCATATGCAGTAGGACTGTTATTAGGAAGTGAGATTATTCCAGATAGTTGGAGGTGGGTACCCACTATAGGATGCCCTCCCTTTCACCCTACTCTCAAAAAGGTGATAAGGGGCCAGTAGCAGTGGCTCACACTTGTAATCCTAGCACTTTGGAAGGCTGAGGCCAGAGAATCTCTTGACTTCAGGAGTTCAACACCAGGCGGTTGAACAGTAAGACCCATCTCTACCAAAAAATAGAAAAACTAGCCAGGCATTGTGGTGGTTGCCTATAGTTCCAGCTACTTAGGAGGCTGACACAGGAGGATTCTTGAACCTAGGAGTTTGAAGTTGCTCAAACTATGCTGATGCCATGGCACTCTAGCTTGGGCAACAGAGTGAGACTTTGTCTCAAAACAACAAAAAAGAAGATGACAAGGGAAGCTTCACAGGTACAGGTAGGAAAGGTCTTTATTATTGGCCTTGATTTAGTCATCATGTAGTGTCCAACATGGATTACATGTCCAGAGGATCTGCCTGATACATACCACCCTTGCCCAGCTGTCCCTCTAGTCCAGACACCAGGCCTTTGTCCATCATACCAGAGAAGCCAACCCCACCATCCCACAAGTTCATGCTTGGGGCACTGAGGGACAAGGCTGTCCCAGGATTGGACCCTCCATCCCTCACCTTCATCCTGGCCAGGAATTCTGGGAAGGACGAGGCTGGGACCTGGATGATCAGTCTTTTTGGTTTCATGATCATTTAAAAAACAGAAAAGACAAACATTTCACAGTCTTTAAAAAATAGGAGTCTGAGGAGAGAAGCAAGGGTCCTCTGCCCTGAGAGGCCCCTCAAAGTCTCAGCATCCCTGTCCCTTTAGGTCTGCAGACCTGGCCATGGTGCACCTAGCCATGTCATGGTTACTGGCCTGAGCCATAGGGCCAGTTGAAGGTACTTCCCGACAGCAGCATGTCACGGATCAGCGTCTCAATGGGCGTCTTGCCCACCAGGCGCATGAAGAACAGCTGGGAGATGAGGGAAGCAGGGACAGCGCGCAGGGCAGGGAGCCGAAGCAGCAGGCGCCCGAAGCGCTGGGGCTGGGATGGGTACTGGGCCCGCACGTACTCGGTAAGGGCCACCTGCGCCTTCTCCTGCAGGCTTTCCACGTGGGCTGGGTCTGAGAGGCCACAGGCATCTGGGGGGCAGGGGACAATGGTAAGATCAGGGTGTGAGGTGTCAAGAGGACACAGAGCCCACAGAGGTGACACCACTTGGGGCTGTGGGTAAGGATGGGGGCCTTTCAAGTGGGGGAGGATGGGACCCTGGGGTTGTCTAAGGCAGTGTCCATCCTCAGGAGACACTGAAGTCTTCTTGTGTAATGACAATGACATAGGATGTAGGCAGGAAGGAATTTTTCAAGGGTGGTTGGGGTCTCAACTAAAGCCTTTGGCAGGAAGATAAGTGCTAATGAAGTTCAAGAGGGAGGTGGGCCTGGGGCATGAGAGAATGTGACAGCATCTAGGAGGGACCCATGAAGATAAAAGGCAGAGAAAGTCTTCTGGAAAAATGATGGCCAAACTATATTTATCAATGAATGCCACCTTTCAAAGTGGCTTGAGTCTGGTTAATACATACCCTGCCCACAAGGATACATCTGGTGGGGCCTAGAGCCTTTTCAGCCAGCAAAGGAACCCTCAGGAGACATTTGCCCCAAGTGCAAAGTCACCTGAGTAGCCAGCCAGTCATTGGGATATGGAGCTGCTACCACCCCTGGAAGGCTACCAAGGTACTTGAACTGCCCTGCCCCCACCCAATCATACAGTGGGTCCACCTGGGGGCCCTGGGTCAGAGGTCAGGGAGCTCAAGAATCAGCCAATGGAAGACAGAAGGAGCCCAAACCACCAGGTGTCAGGGATGACTCTTCCCACGGTCCCCACCCTTCTGTGCTATCAGTGTTCACTGGGCTCTTTGGGCAATTTTTTTTTTTGCAGTTTTTGGCCAGGGCTGGGTTTGAACCCACCACCTCCGATATATGGGGCCGGCGCAATTTGTTGAGGAGATGGGGTCCAGGGAGCTTGGGAACCAGGCCCAGCCTGGATCCCAGAGCCCCAACTCAGAGTTCTTTGGGAGTCCTGGGAGTCAGGGAATGGGTACGTCAAGGTGTCACACTACCTGCATCACACCCACTGCACGTGCAGGAGGCCAGATCTGGAGAGCCTGGGTCCCACCCCACCGCCCCTCGGGGTCCCCCACCCCCGTGGCAGCAGCGCCTCCCTCTTCGAGCAAGCCTCACCCGGCGTGAAGAGCGCGATGGCCTTGAGGCAGCCGTACTCGGCCGAGTCGACTTGCAGGCGGCCCAGCTTGTCCACCTGCTCCTGGAAGGCGCGCACCTGGTCCATGAAGGCCACGGCACGCTCGGCGGCCATGGGCGCAGCGTGCAGACCGGCGGCAGCCAGCAGCGGCGCCGTGTGCAGGGGCAGCGCCGCCTGTGCAGCGTTCAGCACGAAGAGCTCACTCCAGCTGAGGCGCAGCAGCGCCACCTGGTCAGCCACCGGCAGCTCCGGGAAGAAGGGTGCGTGGCGCGCCCACTCCACAGTGCTGAACAGCAGCCGCGCCGCCAGCTCGCACACATTGTCGATGCCCAGCACCGCGCCTGTCGTGCCGCCCCCTGCACCGAACGCGCCTGCTGCACTCGCCCCGAAGCGCCCGGCAGCCGCCGGGTAGGGCTCGGCGCGCAACAGCTGCGCGATCAGCTCGGACACCGGCTGCCCTGGAAAAAGGTCTCCACCCGTCGCCGCTAATGCTGAACCCGGGGGGCTGCCGGAGGAGGTGGCCACCGCGCCGGGTAGCGAGTGCGGGATGCGGCCGCGCTGCACCGCTGCGGGAAAGAGGGACAGGATAGGAAGCGGGATCCCCCCACCACAGGAAATGGGGACAGGGCAGGAGATGGGGGTGACAGGGTCCGAGTACAGGAAGGGGATTGATTGGGATGAAGGAATGAGAGTTGGACAGGGAGGAATTAGGAAGAAGCAAAGAGAAGAAAGGGGAGGAAAGACAAAGTCAACAACGGGACACTCAAGCTCCTCCCCCTCGCTTCCAAAGTCCCCAGGCCCAGCCTTTCCCAGGACCCTCAAACCCACCCCACCAATGCATGCTTAGTTAGAAAACCAAGGCCAGGGAGCCTGGCTACCTGTCGTCCTACACCCTGAGTCCACATTCAGCCACCACCTCTACCACCCCAGCTCCCAGAGGGAGCTTTCTGCAGCAATGGGACTACTGAGGGCTAATTTAATTACTGCCTAATTCCCTCTCCCTCTGCTAGGCTAAATCGGTCAATTATTATGGGGGTCCCAGAGCCAAGGATGGAGCCAAGGATTACTTGGGGCCCTAAAGCAAGTGATCAATACCCACCAGTTGCAGCATTCTCCTATGGAGACCAGATCATTTCTCTATCTTCCATCCCCTCCCCACCAGATGATGATCCCTAAGAACAGATCTTGTGTCTCTATAGAGGCACCAGTTGCAGGCAGTGGGGACCTACCCCAGAGTAGGTCCTCAGTAAATATTAGCTGCCCTTTAGTAACCTTGCCTATGACAGCTTGTGTCCACAGTGACCAGGTGAGAAGAGGGAAACTGAGGCACAAAGAGAGGAGGGCTGGCCACATACCTGCCCAGCTTATGCTAGAAAGGAAGACTGGGCTGAGTGCCAAGCAGAGACTAATTAATGAGCTGGCATGCCCTGTCTCATCACCTCCATGAACTCCAGGTCAACTCAGCATGGAGCAAACACCAGAGGGTAACATGGGCATGAGCCAGGGACCAGCAATGCTCAGCAGAGTGGGGGTCGATCACGGCTGCAAGTGATTCCTGAGTCTCAGGGTAAACTGTCCAATGTAGCTGGATAAGGCCCAAAAGTGGTCCCCTTGCCCCTCCCCGAGGGGACCGTCTTCTTCCTTTTCTATGTTTGCACCCCAGGGAATTTGCCCTTGCTGTTCCCTAATCCTCAAACCCTTTCCCAGCTCTTCTTTATTATTCAGCCCAGATTGAGAGGGTTCAAATCCCAACCACAACTCTACTTGCTCTCTCTCTCTCTCTTTTTTTTTCCAGAATCTCACTATGTCATCCTGGGTAGAGTGCCATAGCATCACAGTTCACAGCAATCTCAAACTCTTGGGCGTAAGTGATTCTCTTGCCTCAGCCTCCCAAGTAGCTGGGACCACAGGCACCTGCCACAATACCCAGCTATTTTTCAGCTGTAGTTGTCATTGTTGTTTAATAGGCCTGGGCCAGATTTGAACCCACCAGCTCTGGTGTATGTGGCCAACACCCTAACCATTGAACTATGAGCACCAAGCCATGCTCTCTGATCTTGACAAATGCTCTCACTGATCTCCATTTCTCAGATATAAAACGCAGATGATAATACGAGGATGATGACTTCAATCACTGGATTAAACGAGAATCTATATAACTTGCCTAGTTATATAGATAGTACCTGCAACTTAAGAGAGGCTAAATGACGATAATTCAAGCCAACAATCATTTATTGAGCCCTAACACTGTGGCAGGCCCTGGTCTAGGCACTGGGGATAAATCAGTGAATAAGACAAACAAAAATCCCTGTCTTCAGGGGGCAGATGTTCTGGGAGTAACTAAATTACAGAGCAAGATGGATGGTGTGAAATAAAGGGTTATGGTGGCCTGGCGCAGTGGCTCACACCTGTAATCCTAGCACTCTGGGAGGCCGAGGTGGGTGGATTGCCTGAGTGAGAACTTGTCTCTAAAAAAAGATAGCCGGGCATTGTGATGGGTGCCTGTAGTCCCAGCTACTCAGGAGGCTGAGACAAGAGGATTGCGTGAGCCCAAGAATTTGAGGTTGCTGTGAACTGTGACACCACAGCACTCTACCAACAGCAACAATGTGAGACTCTGTCTCAAAAAAAAAAAAAAAAGAAAGAAAGAAAAGGAGGGGGTATGGTGAAGATAGGAGGAGGGTAATCTGAAAGGCTTCTTGGGGGTATGAGTTGTGATTATGAGTATTTCCACCCCTGAGGCTTTGGAGAGCTGAGGCCCTGATTTGAGACATATCAAGATTTTATTTTTATTTATTTACTTATTTATTTGGGAAACAGAGTCTCACTATGTCACCCTCAGTAGAGTACTGTAGCATCACAGCTCACGGCAACCTCAAACTCTTGGGCTTAAGTGATTCTCTTGCCTCAGCCTCCCAAATAGCTGGGACTATAGGCATTCACCACAACACCCAGCTATTTTATTGTTGTTGTTCTTGCAGTTGTCATTTTTGTTTAGCAGGCCTGTGCTGGGTTCAAACCCACTAGCTCCAGTGTATGTGGCCAGCACCCTAACCACTGACCTACAGTCGCCAAGCCCATATCAGGATTTTAAATCAAATGGACAAATACAAGCAAAATCCAGGTTGCAGAGGGAGGATGAGAGTCATCTCAAAATTTAAAAGGACCA